CCCCTCCCCCCCCCCCCCGTGCCTGTGGGGCTTCTCACGGCAGACGTGGAGTCCGGGCAGTTGCTAGGCCCCTGTGGGAAGTTTTTTTGCCCGAAGGGGTCCTGGCGGCTGGCTGAGCTCTGTGGGGCTGCAGGTATACGGGTGGGGAGCAGTGGAGAATAAAAGCAATATACTGAGGGGTGTTTGGGCCTTTGATTCCAGTCCACTAAATTAAAATATTTGGTAAGAGAATGAGTTGCTTAACTCCACCGCTGGCCCCTACCATTTGCCTTTGCTGGTTGCAGCTGTGCCCTATGATGTGTTAAGTTATTACTGCCTTTTTGATTCAAAGTGTGAAAATAAAGTTTACATGGCCCTTAAAATTTTCAGCAGCATTGCTTTACAAGTGTTTGCATTGTGGCTATGTAAAGAGATTTTTCAGAGAGGCAAAAATGAACCCACTCTTAAAAGGTGGGGAGGGTGGTTTGTCATCACTTTTTTGTCTCTTCTTTTTTTACCACCACTGTAAACTGTAGAGATAAACATAATATGCTCAAATAACTGTCAAAGCATTTCCAATCTTGTGGATATTATTAAAAGTATTTCTTTAGGGGGGGAGGGGGATAGAAATTTAATTTGTCTGTGGGGGAGTGCTATGTTTACATGACTTGGAGCTCTGGTCAGACCCAGGATCCTCCAGAAGATTTTGATGTCCAGCACCTGCTTTGTACTTTTTATAAAACCTTTTAAATGTTTACATAGGCATGCTTACATCTGTGCCTGTGTTTGAAGTTCACTGATTAGCCCATGAGAATTGCCTAACTACAGAGAGAAACGAGACAACTAACAATAACATTGTTGGAACAGGGTGGCTCAGCATTACTAATGTGCTGACAAATCTCCCAATAAAAATGGTAGTTTATGTTTTAAAAGGAGATTTCTCTCCTGTGATAGTTTTTTTTTAAATTAAGTACAAGCTTTTCTTGCCGTTGGAATACACAGCATCGTAAGATGATGACTGCAGGTTAAGTAATTTCATTTTACTGAATTATTAATATATAGGCATGAGCGAGTGAATACTGACTGTTATGAAACACTTGTGGTGTTACAAATTGTATATGAGGAATATACCAAATACAGAGAAGGTGGAGCCCAGCATCATAATGATTGTATTAACTAGAAGTTATTTTAAAAGACTATTTCCTCATGAAGTTTTCCTTCGTTAAGTAAGTGTCTCCTAAATGGCCTTCTGTGTTTGCCTGCATGCTTTGAAACTATGTGGTAAGCATTAATCAGCAATATGGAGATGGTATAGTAATCTCATAAACAATGAGTGTTGTTAAATAATCATATTTACGGTTGGATAACAGGATTGCATATGTCTGCTTGCCGGATATGGTTAGGAAACGACTGAGGTTTTGTGATGATAAAGTTGCCATATGCTTCATGGTGACGAGCAGCAAATGAGCTTGAGCCTTTTTCCAGCAATAACTCATTGAAATGTAAGCATTAGGGATCTGACCACGATGGCAGTTTTACTTGGAAGCAGTCAGTGGCGTTACCCTGCAACACTGAGGAAAGCAGCCCCTTTGCTCTGAGCAAGCTGCTGGAGCTTACTCCGTCTGCCATAGCGGGGTCTTTCGCCTGGCGCTTGGCAGTGAACGCACACCGTGGTGTGTACTCACGGTGAGGCCTAGCTCCAGACAAGAGAGCAGGGAAGTGCTGAGGCTGACCCTGGAGACTAATGCAGGCAATCTACTAAAATGAAATTTAGGACCAATTGAAGTCAGACTTGCGCGTTATTCACTCATATATAAATGTGTTTCATGTCAGTGCGATTGGAGATGCAGTTTTCTGTATTTTAGGAAGTGAGTGCAGAGGACACGTAGTGAAGAGGTAACGCTGGTGTAATCTGTGTTATTCCCTATAAAGTGTTAGTAGCACTCAAAAGCTTTTATTAGCAACTGGGGGTGATGGAAGAAGCTGGAAGCACGTGACTGCATGCCTCAGACAAAAGAGAAATTAGTAACATAATTTGCTTGTTAACTGAAGCAGAAGGAATGGGAAATACGTCTTTCTTAAAACAAAGATTAATGACTCTAAGGAGGCAGTTCTGAAACATACCTGAGTTTCCCTGGTTTTGCTTTTGTCTAGAACTGTAAGATACACTTTCTGCAGCGTAGCTGCTAGTTCTGCCCGTGAGCCAGTAAACTCAGTTCTTCCCAAACTTGTTAGGTGGCAGAAGCTCGCAAACAATGCTGATCCGACATCCCAGTAACCTGCCCGCAGCACTCCTCTGGCAGCGGTATAAGCTTCTTGGGGCTCTCCCAGCAGCTTCCGCAGTCTAGACCTGGACTGACTAACTTCACCGAGAGGTGAGGACAGCCCGTTCCACAATTGCTAGCACCTTGGTTAGGGTGACAATGAAAGGGCTGACTGTCCTGGTGAATGGTGCTGTTGATTGAGTTGCTGAATTACGCTTTTGTGTTACATAGTTCTGGTCGTATTTAGAGACTTCAGATGAACGATTGCATAGACAGGCAGACCGCAAATGGCTCCTTTGAGTGGGAGGAGATGAAGCTGGTCCAAAAGGAACTATCTCATCCAGTTCTCTTCTCCGGGGATGTTTTTATCATCTTGAATGCGGTGGGGATTTGGGTATATCCTCATATGGCCAGATAGGCTTGGGTGAGGTACAGAGACATCGATCAGACTCCAGAAAATAGCAAAGCAGTCAAAGCCATAGACTTCGGAAAGCCATGGGCATTCAGAAAATGTTTCCTAATTCTCATTTAGCTTTTTGTCCTTTTCTGACAGGATTGGCTCTTTGTTTTATCGACTTTTTTCTTCTTAAAGTATCTTCATATCAGTTGAGTACTTTTACCAGCTCCTTCTCTGTCACATCCTCCCTGTTATCATTCTTGGTGATGTAACTTGCTCCCTTATAGATAAGTGTCCGCACTTCATTCTTTCAAAATGCAACTTTAACATAATGTTCTCTTTTATTACATTGATTAGTTTAAGTATGGTTTATATGTAGTCTCTTGGTTTTCACACATCTAATCTACCTTGAGTAAGATAACATATCAGAGAACAGGCAATTTTATACAGGTCAGAGATCATTGCTTCTTCACAAAATGTCTTCGGTGGGGCATCCTTTGGTTTGTCTTAGAAGTTTTGCTGTAACACATCATTTTTTATGAAGACACAGACTAATATTCCCTGTAGGTGTGTTGCTTACTAATTGGCCTAATCACAGACTATTTACAGGCCCTCAGTATGTTTTGTTACTATGTTTTGTAATTCTGTTGCTATTGTAGATATGTTAGGTTTTAATTAGGTGTCGTGGTTTAACCTCAGTCGGCAACTGAGTACCACACAGCTGCTTGCTCACTCCCCCCGCCCCCCCCGGGTGGGATGGGGGAGATAATTGGAAGAGTAGAAGTGAGAAAAACTCGTGCGTTGAGATAAAAACAGTTTAATAATTGAAATAAAATAATAA